TGCCACTAGAGTATACAAGTTTGGACATTTGCTTAGGACTATTGGTCCAAATTCTTTGAGGGAAGGGCAAATCTGGATGCAGCTCCTAGGAGCAGATATGTTTGCTAGCGATTGTGACTATGGTAATGTGATGAGTGACAGCTTTTCGACTTGTCAAAGCCTTGCCAATTTAAGCCCCCTTCGTAACTGCCTTGGCAGGAAAATTAAAGGTCTGTGCCAAACAAATCTGCAAAGGTGGTTCTCTGATCTTCTCCGGGAGTCCTGAATATCGCCCCCTTCCCCCAACAGCTTTAACAGTCCTACCCATTTCATAGACTATGATATGTAAAGCCAGATGTTGCAAGTTCCGCATCTGAAGCTGCTCTGAAAACATAAGGTGCTTATTAGTTGAATTAAACTGACGCCTTTTTAGTTGATGCTGAACCATAGTCATACACTTTGAGGCTTTCTGGCTACATGATTGACTTGACCTTTCACCCAAAAGATAAAAATGGCACAGATTGCTGCACATTTTTTTTTTTTAATAAAAGCTTCTCTTGGTGTAACATAGAAGCCATGATTATAACATGGTAGGCGTATGAGAGGAGTTCACATTAGTTCCCTTAGTTACATGGGAAAGGACCCACTAACATAGTGTTAAAAGTACAAAACAGAAAACTAAATATGCAGCAGATTCCTGATAAACCGGGAGCATATGTCTCTGGGCTTCTGGGAATCCCCAAGTCTGGACCACTTCTTGAACATATGATAAGAATGCATAGAGAGTATGACAGCCTTAGTGATGTCATAGCTTTGGGTTGCCAATGAAAAAGTATTAGTAATTTTAGCTAAAAGTCATTAAATCTTTATACTTCATTTTCTCTTTACTTCCCTTATAAGCCTCAAGTATTGGCTCCCTTTTCAAGACTACTTTTGGCTAGGAAACTAAGTATTTTTATCACTTCATAAAAATAAGTGCATAAATGTCACCAGCAAAGAGCCACAAAGTCCCCTTGGGATGAAACTCCTGGGCAGCTAGCTAAGCTCAGTGTTGGTCTCACAGGGCAGCTGACTCAAATCCCTGCCTAAGAAAAAGGTCAAGTTATGACATGTCACGGCCATTCCAGCTTACCTTTCAAAGAGTGGAAACATTAATCAAAATCTTGGGATTCAGGTGTCTATTATGTGGAGTATGAGCTAGAGATAAGACTGGAAAGAAACAGCAAAAGAATAACATGGCTATTTATGATTATTAGTGATTCTATTGTTTTTATTATAGCCTTTTAACATAACTGTTTCCAAGTTAGCATTGAGAATCAGAAAAAAAGCCAGAAAAACATAAAAGTTATTTTGATAAGAACAGGCCAGATGTCAATCATCTCCTTCACCTCAAGAATCACTGGATGGACTAAATTATAACCATGGCAGCTGTTGGATGTCATGGGTAAGTGTAAGAAAGGGAAATAATTGGGGTAGAGAAAGGAACAACAACAACAAAAAAAACCAAAAACCCAAGATGGAAAAGCAAAGAAAAAAGGAGGAGAATGAGAACCCAAACCAAACCTGACAAATGGTAAGGTGGAAAGATGGAGAGATGCCTCTATTTATTCTAGAGATTCTTCATGCCAACATGATCTGTGCCTATCTCAGATCTCTATGACTTAGGACAATTCCCAGTTGTTCATATATTTAAGAGATTTGTGAACTTCCTAAAACTAAAATATTGATTGATACTTAACAAACTTAATGAATATTCAGTTTGAAGTTAGAAGGGGCCATGGACACAAGAACAAGCAGTTATTTAAAAAACATTTTGGCATTCTGTTATTGAAAGGCTTTATGTTATGCATAAGACCACATTATGGAAACCTGATACCAATGGTATGTACTAATAAAATTTGATAAATGATTTAAGATACAACTTTTACTTATTATAAAGCAAAATAATGAGAACTATGAAGCTATTTTGGTAAACACAAAAAGTGAAATCAGGGATATGCTACTGATGTTCATGAACAGTTTATTTCTGCTTTCTTTTGGTTTTAGAGGTATATAATAATAAGATTATTATTATCACCACAGAGAAGTGGTTGCTAACAGTAACAGTTTTTACAGCTCCTTTTGCAATCTTAGAATATGTAATTTTGTAATAAAACAGAAATAATGGAAGAACTTAATGAGAACAAAAAGAATTTACTTTGCTAGAATATTTTTCCAATTGCTATTAAAGTTTTTTTTTTTTACAATTTAACAGCTTAAATCAGTGAAAATCAGTTGTTCAGTATGTTTGAATTTATCTTTTTTGAGTTATTGTTTTAAAATACATAAAATGAAACTTAATGAAGCAACAGAACAGGTTCTGTGGGCAGTGTCTGAAAAACCAATAGTTGAATGTATCAAACAACTCTTTCCCTTTCACTCCCAACTTGTGGGTAAGAAAACTGAAGTCCAGAAGGGTAAAGTGATGTAAAATTAAAGTTGTAAACTTAATTATTTAGTGTTATCTTTGCTGTTCATAATACTTCTTGGTCAAGACCAAGAGAATAAGCTTGGCTCTCTGAATAGCATTTTCCTTCTAAATACTAGAAGAGACCAAAAATTTCAGTATACACAGAAAATGAGCAAATATCTCAATAATAAAATTCTCATAAGGTTGCAAAATATGTAGCTTTGTACTAAGAATGTCTATGCTTTTTCTTTTGAGAGTTTCTAATTTTGGACACAAAAATGTTGGTTTTAATGTCATTGTGTCATCCTTGATTTTACCAACAGACAGTTGAGCCTGTAGTTAGCAATCAGTTCTTTGTTGGTTTAATTCTCTCCATCCAGAGCAGACCTATTAAAGAGTCTCTTCTATCTACTTTTTCCCAGACCCTTCCTTCACTTCAGGTATGCAGAAGAGATCCATTAATTCCATAGCAATTCTTAAAGTACCTCAACCCCAGGGTAGTATATTTCCATTTCCCAAAGCAGTTTTTCCTTCAGCCTCTCCCACTGGTAAGTCTTAATTTTTACAGCTTTGTCTAATTACTTCTTCAGTAAAAAAGCAGCTTCCTGACATTTGCCTATGACTTACTTTTTCATTTTCCTTTTCTCACTTTTCTTTCTACTACTTCTTTTTAAGTAGCCACCTGTCCCAACATTTATACATGTGCTGTATTAGATGTTTTAAAATAACAAAAGGAAAAGCATAAATTGTACATGCAGACGTCTTCCAATGTACCCTTTTGCTTTTGGTTAATAAGAAATGGGCCAAAAATGTTCATCCCACAGAGAAGAGTGGGTAAAAATCAGATGCCAGAAAGAATGAGTGCATTTTTTTCTGGTCATAAAGATTTCTCTTCAAATTCTTAACAAAATGCTTTTAAATCACAATTTTCTTCTGTGGTCATTTCTTCACTGAAGTTTTTTACCTAGTGGGGAAAACTTTATATAATAGTAGAGAATTAATTCTTCATTTCTCCTAGAAATATACATATAAATTTTAATGAAAAAGTGTTGATAAGACTTCCAATGTCTGTCTATGGCTGAGTTGGCCTGTCTAAATTGAGATAAATATGCTTTTTACAAACTAGTCTTCCTATTATAGATATGGATAAAATTTTTTAATAGGACAATTTTTACATAGCTTCAATTGCATGGGTTATAATTATCATAGCTAAAAATATATCAAATGCTTGACTATTTACAAAATAAAGAAATCAAAGCAATTTTAACACCTTATTTAGTTTTATATCATATTCAGCTTTTAATATAGAATATTCTGGTGTAATATGAAACTAAATTAAACTTCACCTAAATTATAAAATATTTATCCTTTCTGTTTCTTTAACAAGTTCACTTTTATGAGGCAGATAATACAGTTCCTACAAGTTAATTAGTAATAGCAATTTCATATCACCTAGAGAATTCAGAATTCATGAGCATAAGGTAGAAAGATGATAAGAACATAACCTTTAAAAAGTTAACAGCAGAAAACAAAACCACATTACTTACAGCCCCCAAATAGAGTGATTTGCGTTGGCATTGCTCATGTACTAGTGACTATTCAAAGTTTTCTTTGTATGCATTATAATTAGTAAACTTTGATTTAAAAATTTACATTGCAGTGTTTCTCTGGAAATTCAAGGAGTTTGGATAAGGATATTTTACCTTTTGGTCTTCTAGATAACTTTCATAGGGAAGAATTTTCTATGTCCTCTCTAATTAATCAAGCATGAATGAACTATTACTAAAGAGACTCCCTAGAAAGAGTTGCAGGTGTTAAGGCAAATGTACCATCATGACAAGTTTCTTGACCTGACTTTCCATGATTACTCATCATTTGAGATGTTTCATTGGTCAGGCTAAATCTTGATCCAGAAAATAATCTGAAGGCCAATTGGGGTTTCCAAAAAAGCAAACAATGATGTGTGAAAGTGTTAAGTGTTTAAATACTTAAAGCTTCTAATTAAAAAGACTTTTAAAAAAATATGACCTTGGAAATATGTTCTGCTTTCCATTTAGCAAAGGCTGAATTTGTTCAAAGGTAGCAGAACTCTTCTAAGGCTGGTTCTGATTCTAATTAATCAGTGTGGACCACCTACCTACAGGTGAGAAGGAGCCAGCTATGACCCTGAAACATGGTCTGTAATGATCATGTCCCTGATCAGGGACAGAGAGAAAACAGAAAGATCCTGACAGCATTGTGCCAGCACATTGGTTAAGAACATCAAATTGTTCATTGGCCTGGATCTTGTCTGAGGAACAAGGAATTGGAATGAAAAGAAGTCAGAAGAGAAGATCGACTTGGAAGAGTGCTTTACCTACTACCTTACAAAAGGAAAAGTCCACAGACCCTGAGATGACTTCACACAGCAACAGGAGCAAGAGCACAGGGACTAATGACACAAAACTAGAAAGGGACACTGGATAGCAGCACTGGTCATTTTATTTTTGATTTAAAACTTCATTTGAATTTGAGAAGCTTAATTGGGATCTGATTTATGTTTATGATAAATAAACTAGTAAATGTGACTGACCTGGCTGGACAAGGATCCAAGTTACACTCCTGAAGCTTGGGTTTGGGTTTGATGTTCTCTGGGTAATAGTGGCAGTACTGATCCGCAACCACTCGGTTGCTCCGGAGATCATAACACTCAGCCGATGTCAGCTGGTAACCTGCAAGGATCAAACCAACCGGGCAAATTTAAAGGCACATACCAAGGCAATATATTGCTTTATGTGTTTTGGCCATCTCACATTAGTGGAAATTATTCTCCAATGCCCCAGTCATTTCCAGGAAAAAAGACACATAATTGGAAAGCTCATTAATTTTTGTAGCCCTTTAATACTTTTTCTTTCTTCAAGTAATCCACTCAATATAATAATTAAATTATATTACAGAGCTTGAATTACATGAGGGCATAGTCAGATTATAAGGCTCTATAAAAAGAGAAGAACTATTCCTTTTATTTCTTTTGTATAATAAAAAAATTAAACATAGACTTTTATATCCAAAAAACACCATTGGTATTTATTTACCAATCTTATGCAAGGATGTCTAACTTCCCCCCTAGTACCTATAACACCAGAAAAAATAAACTCTTACATAAATAAATAAAATATATCTCAACATCTCCTGCCCCTTGGACCATGGGGTTCAATGGAGCATAGCATAGGGTCAGATTCTGCCAGGTGCCAGGGAACACAATTTTTGCCTCAATTCAACCTGAATGGGTTGAGCTGAGTAAGTGGACAATTAAGATCCCTACAATAGCCACCATTAACCTGTTTCTTTACAGAACTACAAAAAAAAAAAAAAAGACAATCAAATGAAAATTCTCTCCCTGTTTAATTTTTGCCTTCTCCAAAATCTGTTGCCATTTCTCTTTAAATTAAGTCTCTAGCCCTTATTTCTTAGTCTCTATCTGCACTGTTTAGAGAAGCCGCTTTTTAAATAACATTTTATTGGTACATTATAATTATATATAGCTATGGAAATCATTGTGGAGAAGCCTCTTTTTAAAAGTTGCTGAGTAATAGTTTTATTATCATGTGTTATCTTTTCTACCTGCCTTGTAATGTCCTGTGCATCTCTCATGGGTAGCAATCAAGACTTAGAGTCCTGGGGTGAAAAATAAATGTACACAGACTTAAAAAAATATTCGTATCATTCTAACCCTAATCAACCCTTCAAGTATATCCTCCCTGGTCAGTAGTTGAATCCTGTTATTGCTAAACATGTATCAGGAAGCAATATTTAAATTGTTAAGGGACTTGCAAAAGATTTTAGGAAATCAGAAGGAGACTTTTAAGCCAGATTTCCTGGCTTGAGGCAGTGTTCTCAGACCACCCACAAAAATTAATTGTTCATTAAGGACCTAAAAAAAGACCTTTTAAAATTCTATTGGAAAGATGAAAAGCATGGAAAGTAATGAAAGCAATGGGTAAGAACACATGTTCCACCACACTTTTTGTTTTATGAGAAAAATCAAGTAGCAAAATGATATTTTAGATGAGTAAACATACTTTTAGTTTTCAAATCCATTGTACTCCAAAGCAGCTAATTTTATGACAAGGTAAACACATTATAATTTATATACCTGGCAATTTATGCTCAAGGGCAGAATTTATCATGCAGCAAATGTGGGGACAAACAATAAAATTATAAATCTGAGATTATGATTTTCAAAACCATAAATTGCCAACCTAAACCCAATGCTTTGAAGATATTATAGTGCATATGAAGTGAAAAGTTAGAATGAAAATGAAATCATTTAGCAGAATGGTCAGATGACTATGTTTTCTGGAGTTTCACAAGTTATCTTGGAATAGAAATTCTTTACATTGGGCAAAATGAACAACCAGCTGAATCTGGAGTGAGAAGTAGAGAACTTAGAGATCATTTCTTTTGTAATTTTCAAACTGGCCTGTGAAATAAGAGAAATGCAGATCTCCACAGCCTGCACAGCTTCACTGAGAGAAGTTCTCCTTTTATCTGGGCTTCCTGAGTAAGATTTCCTTTGAACAAAGCATTTGATATTTGAAAACATTTGAAAACACTTAGAGTTCTGTTTCTTCACTTAAATGTGGGCAAAACTAGGACAAACGGATTGGGTATATCTGAATCTAACACTGATTGCCTTATTTTATACTGAGCTATTGTCAAGGTTATTGAAATTATACCCTCACAGCAGGGTATATGAGAACCTGGTGTAGTGTGCAAATAATTGAATTGCTCTTTCTCATAAAGCATGGTATTTGTTTAGAAAGAAAAAAAAAATTATTTCCTTAGATTGCTTTCTTTGAAACTCTTTTCTATGGCAATTATTAATAAATATATCAAAATAATGGCTTCCCAAGAAGCATCAAAGCAATTGACAGATTATTTTTAAACAAAGCAATTTTCTATTCAGGATAGATAGAGCAACCACAAAAGCTATTCAATTGAAGTGCTTAAAATGTTGAGTCAGTAGTTATTTAACAATTGAATATAGGTACTTGATGGCATTTTGACTTACTACTTTTAAGCTAAAATCCAACACTGCTCTGTAGAACAATATTTCTAGTGGTTTGTTCACATGGTATGTATGGAGACAGTTAAAGGTGAACTACCTCATATATTCTTACTGTCTCAAAAAAATTGAATTATTGTTTGTCTCTATTTTGTAGTATCATCCTTTTATCTCTTGCCTAACTAATTTAGTGATGCTTATGTTGATAAACTATTTAAAGTCAGTCATTTGAAGCTAGGGTGGAATGTATTTGATATGCTAATTTTCAAAGATATATATATATAGCCATATATATATATAATATATATGGAAAACTTAAAAAGATAATCTATAAAAGTTGGCAGTTAATTCAAAATATTCACATATTGCTTGTTGCCTTTCAGAAAAGAGTTTGGTAATATATGCCAATAGGTCCCAAATTTCTGAAACTCCTTTATCTAGTGTCCTTACTATTGAGCACTTACCCTAAGGAAATCATCTAAAAGAAGAAAAATACTTAAGAATGAAGTTATTCATTATGTTACAATAGTAGGAAGATTTAAATGACCTAATTGATTTATTATAGGGAAATGACAACATAAATTACTATAAAATGATGCATAGCAAATATTATATAGTCAGGTAAAGTATAAAGAACAGAAAATGGGAGAGAAAAACAAACAAAACAAAACATTTTCCTATAACACAAAATACCATTCATGATTCAGTTGTGATAGAGTGGAGACAGCAATTCACTTCCTGAGTTTTCAGAAGAGATGCATTTTAATTAATATATAAAGTCATGGCATTCCTTTTAATGCATGGGGTAGAGCCAAACAATGACTGACCTTAAGTCAGCAATATTTTTGTTCTAGTAATAGACTATTTCCTTTAATCAAGTCACCTTGACAAACGCTCTTCACTTGATCCCTGAATAAATGACGTCTACTCAACCAGAAGTGCCTTAGGACAACACTGCTGCCAAATTATTGTGGGTTTTCCATGAAATCAAGGAAGGAAGTGGGGACTGCTCCCTTTCATGGGTATCTGCAGAAGGAGATGTGTGTGTGGCATCTCCACTGAGGTCTGCCCTACAGGAGGGCTTCAGGATTTGTCTCCATTGAGAAGAAGGGATTGGGTCCACCCAACAGTCCATCTCTTCCATGCAGAAGTTATTCCACTCTTACAATAGTCAGCAGCTGCTCTCAGAAGCCCATAGTTTCTAGGTTAAATCAACACCATTACCTCCTCCACAGGTTGCTGAGCAGGGGAAGAAATCTGTCTCCCTCCACCGGTGGATGATAGGCTGGTAGAAGATGAACTGGACCGTGCTATCTGTGGGCCCTGAGTCACGGATCTGCAGGAGACAACAGGAAAGTTGAAGAGCTAGCGTGCCAGGGTGGTGCTTCCTGGATCCCAGAACAACTTTGGATGAGGAGGGACTGAAGGTCTTGGGCTATGTGAGGAACTGCCTTGGGACAGAAGTGGCAGTGGTAACTTGGCTTATCTTATCACACAACCAGCAAATGGCCCTTGCTTAGGTCACCACTGTCCTTACCTTCTCAGTTCTGTTGCCATAAAAATAAAGGATGGTAACGGTAACATCTCAATTTGTGATTCTGCCACCATGTTATCTCAAGCCAGAATTTCCATTCCATATATATATATATCTCAAGTAAAATTATCTGCATTTTAAAACATAGGCTGGGGAATAAACAATTTGCCCTAAGAAAATTATAAATGCCAGACACTGCCCCAAATGAAAGATAATGTCTGTGGTTAAGAAAAAAAAAAAAAAACCTCAAGAACTAATTCAGACACATTTAGGAGGCTTCTTATCAATTTGGTGACTTATATATTTAAATGTACAAAGCTACCAGCTGGAAACTTGCTAAAATGCAAATTCCTGGGCCCAAGCCCAGATAACCAGGCAATTCTACTGTAGTTTAAGAACCAAACTTTAAAAACCCCAATTTATATTATAAAAACAATTACTCTCAAATAAGATGGGTGCTAATGGAAATCACAACTCCTTATTTTAAAAGGGGGAATGTGAGACAAGAATTCTTTAACGACTCTTAAAAGTATAAGGTTGAGAAAACATTCTCAAACTGAAAGAGAAGGAAAAAGTACCTAACATGAACAATTAATCTCATGAAGACAGAGTGACGCGCCCTACGATATTTAGACTGTTGGGCAAGACTTGGACTATTTATTGTACTAAAGGGAGTTCCACGGACAATTGAGAGGATCACTCTTTACTCCCGCTACATTATAAATAAAGAAGTATCAAGTGCAGCTGAATCACATGGCCTGTCTTTGTTAAGCGTTTCTGAGCTTTCTCAGTGTTCCAACTCCTTTTATGTAGGGTAAACTGATGGATCTTGCCCTTGGGTTATTTTGAAGATAGCCCACTTCTCTGCTGCTGATCTTGACATGTGGACTAAACACCTAGGATGTAAGAGAAATAGGAATACTGAAGAAACAGGGCCAAGAAAAATTGGTAAGTGCCAAACTCTAGGTCAGCTTTTAGAGTTTGGATGGGAATATGGAAATATTCCTCAGAATGCCTAGGACTGCTAGTGAGAAAAAAAAAAAAAAGAGGGAAGAAAACCTACTGATCATCTCATAGAATACTGCAGCTGATTCACGGAGCACTCTAATCAGAATAGACAGTGATCCAATTCCCTTCTTTAAAACGAAAACAGCGGACCTAGAAAAGGGTATCTTAGGGATACAGAATTGTAGAATTAATAACATTCTTTAGAAAATTTTTCTTTTTCAGCTCACAAAAACCCTTAGCTCTCTTGACATGTGTGGTTATCATACTTAGAAAGCTACTGCAGCCTCTTGGAAAAAAAATGAAAATATCAGAAAATTCATTTAAACCCAGAGACACTATTCCCTGCTATGAGTCCCTTTCACAATGCTAGAAACTGAGTCCTAAGAATGTATGTGGGGGTGGGGGTGGGGTGGGCATCACATCTCTTTATAGCCAAAGCCAGGAGGATGGAACATCACCACGTTTGGAGAAGCCTCATTCTGGGACCAGTGATTGCCTTTTGGTCTGGTTAAAAGGCAAAAAGGTGGAGCAAGTAATTTTTTTGGCTCCCTAGAGGTTACCAATAGAAGCCTAAGAGGAAAAAAGGGATGAGGAGGAGTGTTGGTGTTACTGGGAGGGCTAGCAAACACCATGTTGAAGGAAAGAAAATAAGCTGGTTGGGAAGAATATTGCTCTTAGTAAGTTCTGTAAAAAGAACCATAAATTCTGAGGCTGTATGCTTACATTTGAAGAGATTAGAAATGAAAAAGGATCTCTTTATTCATTAGAAATGTAAAAGGATCTCTTTATTTATTTTGAGGATTGAACCCAGAGGCCATCTACCACTGAGCTGCAACTCTAGTCCTTTTATATCTTGAGATAAGGTCTAGTTAAGTCATGGAGGCTGGCCTTGAATTTGTGATCTCCTGCCTCAGCCTCCCAAGTTGCTGGAATTATGGGTATGCACGACCTGGCTTGGATTGGGACCTCTTTATTTTAAATAGATAAAACCAGTCAGGAGGTGTCTGAATCGCTGGCCACATAATCTTGCTTGATTTTGGCCACAAGGATAACATTCCTGGTTTCCCCTTCTCTATAATCACATTCTCTCTGTAACAATAACAGTAACCAGCAGCACTTACTGTATGCCTACCACATGTGAGGTATATTTTATTTACATTAAATCTAAGCTTAAAACTGTATTATATTATTTTCCATATTTAAGTTGAAATGGGAAAAATTAGGCTCAGACAGTTTCAGTGACTTATTGAAGGCCACACAGCTATGGACTAGAAAGATGGTTCTACACAGCTCTAAAGCTGCCAATCTTTTCGTAGTTTCATGCAGTCTCCACAGTGGTATTGTGATGATACATATACATTTATCTTTAGTTGTATTCTTGCATCTGTCTTCATAGTATTTTCTTAATTTTTCATTTTAAAGTAGAAACAAATCCTTAAAATAACAAAAGTGAGGCCAATCTGATGTCTAACTCTGACGGCCAAATGTTATTCATGTCAATGGGCTTGCCATGCTCCTTTCCTCTGGTTTTCTTAATTCTGGCCTGTTTGGCCCCTTGTTATCATTAGTCCTGCACCTTCATAAACTCTGAATCCTCAATCATCATGTGCTAATTCTCAAGAGTATGCTGAAAGCTTCAGTTTGACACCTTAGAATGTTGGTGTAAGGAGCTGAACACATCTGGCATATGTAATTTTGACCTCCCTATGCTAATAAGAATAAAGAAGTTCTGAACCAAGCTTTTCTCATAATTACAATGTCTCAGTGTTTCTACTGCAGTGTAATGACATCTCACCTAAAAGCAGATGAGAAGACTATAAAACTGGCCCCCATCCACAGCAATTGATTGCATTGTCAAGGGAGAGCTGGGAGACAGTGGGAATGCGTGTGTGTGGCCCGGTTCAATCAAAGGAACCAAGGAGAAATAAACACATGAGGACATTAGCAGGTACACGATGGCTTTCCCAGATAAAGGTCAGCAAAAGCATTTTTCTTCTCTGTTGAGTAAAGGGCAATTTGTGAGCTTCTGGTTACCCAACTAAATTGCTTTCTCTCACTGATATTGTAGACATTTCTGCCCCAGGGAGGCAGGTGGCAGGGCTGCCCCTAATCCACCATGGCTGTAGTTCAGTCGCTGCTCTGATGAGAGCAGGCGGGCAAAGGGAAGCATAGGGGACCCACCTCAGTGCTGACTTGGTGACAGTGCTCTCAGGGCCACCGATGGTCTAGTCTAGTCAAGTCTGTTTTAGTCTACTGTAAAGGGCTTGTAAAAATGCCAGTTATTACTGGGATGAAGTATAGATTCTATCAACCTACTGTTTGGAATACCTGATCATTTTAGCAGTTGGACATACTAAGGTTAGAGATTATTAGATAAAAATGATATAAAAGTTGTGAGTATTCAATTTCCCCTTTGTGCTTTTTTTTAGAGAGTTTTCTAATCCTCCTAGCACTCTAGACCTCAGTTAAAAATATACTGCAGTTCAGCCCATAGGCCTACAGCTCAAGAGAGGTGTTGGTTATGGCTGAAGCTGCCCAGGACCCTGGGCAATAACACAGTGGACCAGAGATGTCTCTTTGGGAACAACAGATGTGCCGTTTGTAAGGAACTAGGAAGGTGGAAAAGATGGGCCAGGAAGGAAATGCTGAGAAACAGAGCAGACCAGATCCTGGAAAGACTATCCTAGTGCTCAGATGGAGGAAGCACAGGAGCAGAGCAAGCCAGCCGGCAGGACTGCAGAGGGGTCTGCACTCTCAGCAGGAAAAAAACAAGTACTCCGCTCTCTGGCTCTGTATCTCAAAGCTGGCTGTGAAACCCAGAAAGAAACCTAGGGTCCTGGAATCTCAGTTCTAAACTCTTGGAACCCATCAGCAAAAAGGGGAATCCTGAATGGAGGAATCACTACGTGTAAAAGTTGTGTAGGAAAATGAATCACTACTTACCTTTACTTCTTTGCTTTCCTACCACTGATTTCAACTTTTATTCTCAAGAACCCTCGCTTTAGGACAATTATTTTTTCCCTTTAGGAGCACAGGTTAAATGGTATGAGGAGACCATCTGGAACAGGCTGGATAGCAGGGCAAAACCAATCAGGGCTTAAAATTTTGCCAAAGCTTAGCCTCCACTGGAGGAAAAAAATTGGTTATTACAATATTACTCAAGATTCACAGGCTGCCCATTTCTCAGAATGCTTTCTAGTCACCTTAAAGCATAGTGAATATCTGAATATCTGTAGCTTTTACCACCTGCCCTTTTTACTTCAGCACTCAATTATATACATTATTATTTCAAACTTCTCTATTCAGTGTTTTACTTCCCAAATGACATTGTAAACTAAGAGAGGGAAGATATCATATATGACAGTCAATCAGCCCTAAGTATCAAAGTTCTTTCACAAGAAGGATGGACACAGACACAGACACACACACACACACACACACACACACACACACACACACAGAGAGAGAGAGAGAGAGAGAGAGAGAGAGAGAGAGAGAAATTCCATAAACTTACTGGCAAAGTGAACTTTGAACTCTCATTACTTTGCTGATGTTACTTCTTTCAAGGCTTCTCCTCATAATTCTCCTAATAATAATAAAAAGACCTTTTGGAGCTGGGCACAGTGGCACACACCTGTAATCCCAGTGACACGGCAGGCTGAGGCAGGAGGATCGTGAGTTCAAAGTCAGCCCCAAACTTAGCAAGGCCCTAAGCAACTTAAAAAGACCCTGTCTCAAAATAAAAAATAAAAAAGGCCTGTGGATGTGATTCAGTGGTTAAGTGCCCTGGGTTC